TCTCTCCTACACTGAATTTAACATCTTCTTACAAAGAAAATCCCTTCTCAGCCACCAATACTTCTCAGTGTCTTTATGAAACTTTCTCAAATGGGAATCTCAGGATAGAAGCTCCTGTTCCAAAATCAATCTTTTACCTAGTGACACTACTACCCAGTGGGACACTGCTAGGACATTGTTCTCCAAAATCTTGCCTTATTACATTATTTTCCTGTTTACAAGAGAACAAACGGCTCCTCACTGGCTCCACCGAGTTGCCAAGGATCCCCAAAATCCAGCCTTTTCTACTATTATATAATATACAATCTTTGTTGCTTTAAGCTACAGTTCTTTCTCTCCCTGAACCACCATGTGTTTGTTCATGCTACACATCCCTTCCTTCCAATTCCTTTCTCTGCTTTCCCCCATCTCTACAAACCTGTCATTCAAGGCTCAACTCAAAATTCACAACCTTCAACAACTCCATCCCACCATAACTTCTCCCTTCTTTATATTTTTACTAGGTGTATAGACAATTTCAACATTTACTGATTTTAATGTTCAATAATTGTTTCATATTAACTTTGTCTTTCTAATTTAGACATCTAATACATTCAGGCACTCTCCTCCACACCCATACACACATGCTCAGTGCTCTTCATAAGGACTTGTGATTACTATACTAATTGTTTAAGCATAGCATTTGGAGAAAAACACACCTATAAACTATTACGGTAGGATATGTAAATTTGAATTATCACAAACTATAAAAGGCAGATAGGACTAAAAGTAATGAGAAAAAATCATTTTTTTTTTCATAATTGCTTTTCATCTCTTTTTCCCTCTTTTACAAATCTGCTGAAGCTATCAAGGAGCCCTGGATGGACTTTTATCTCTTCTTGTTACTGCCTGCCCCCTAGTGGACAACAATGATAAATGAATAAAATCAGCCCAAAGAAAAAAGTTCAGTAACTCATAATCAGAAAATCAGTAACTTTTATAAAAGGTGAAATAATCTAAATTGGAATAGAAAAATACAACTTGAGCAGAAAAAAGAATCTATAAGATAGTGGGCTGAGAGGAAGAAGAGGCATGGGGTACAGAGAGTGTCAGGGAAGGCACAAGGTTGGGAACTTTGCTCCAAGGCGGACAATTTAGGTTGTTTTTATTTTTGTTTCCAAGCAGTTTTTCTTTTTTTTTAATAAACTTTGCTACTAACTACCCCATTGTTTGAAGTTATAAGAAAATAAGGAAACAAAAAAATTAAGTAGGAAAACCAAATCAATGCTACGTTTTACATTAAAATCATCAGGTCTCTTGATCCTTTATGATGAAGTCATCTTGTACGAAATGAGTTATCTCTGTTTGTCAGTATTAATAACAAAACAGGATTAATAAAAAAATCATAAAGTCATTGAGCCATGTGTATGCCTCTCATTTGGTCAATTTTTCAAGGTAAATCACTACACCTTAAGTAATTCCTTTTTTATATCTTGATCCCAAACATTTTGATAACTTTATAAAGATACAAGCCTAGACTTTGAAGATTTTACATATGTAGTATCGTGGTGCTGAGAAACGATTTTAAAATTTAAACCTTTCAACCTGAAAAATTCAGAATTATTGATTATGTTTTAATCTCTTTTTTTCCTTTTCCTAAAAGTAATAGTACAATTTGACATAAATAGTTTTTTGCCTGCCTGGCTCCCTCTGCCAAGCTGGGTTCCGAATAGATCTCTGTTAGGACTTTCTACAACAAGATCTCAACTATTTAAAAAAATGACTCTGATAACTTTATTTTTCTAAGTAATAGTCTATTAAGCTTATAACTAAGTATTGGCTGGATTTTTTTTTTCCTCTGGTGTTATAAATAGCGATTCTCTTTGGTAAACTTATAATGGTTAAGTATTGAGGAAAATTGCTAACTCAAATGTGTAGCGATGTTTATTCACAAACATTATCACTGAGTGTGATTTTGCCAGTGTCTAACTTTGGACAAATCATTTCACCTCTCTAAGCCTTGGTTTCCACCTCTCTAAGCCTTGGTTTGTAAAATGGAGAAATGTCTCCTGTGCATACTTCACTGCAGATCAAAGGGAAAAAATGTGAAAATTTTCGACAGAAACGTACAGTAATAGAGTAGAGTGATTTTGCATGTGCTCACCAGTAAGATTAACCTTGTGGAAAACAGATTTTTTCCTGGAAGGTAAACAATATTTTATCATTCAGAAGTGAGGGAAAAATGCTTTTTCCTCTTTCAATTATAAAATTATAAAATTTAAAACCAACTACACTGTTCCCTTGCAACTGCTCCATCTACTAAAAATGAAACCTGAAAACTCCCTCCCACATCAACTCCTACCTACCCTCTACAGTGAAACCAGGACACCCCCACAGTAGCCCAAGTTCTTTCTAACTTCTTCAGGAACCTAGTCAATGGGGAGTGTGTTCTCTACCCTACCGGATCTCTTCCAGCCCACACATCTCAAAGATAAATACAGACATGCCAAGTACATCACAGACATACCACTATTAATTGTAAGCCTATCACATTTTAAAAGCACCCAATCATGGAAAGTGGCGGAAAGAAATAAACTCCCTTAATTTATACTATAAATAATATGGACTTAAGTGAGTTAAGATTATTATTTAACTTTTTTAAGGAAGAAAAAGGCGATGAAGAACCCAGGCAAGTTTGATCGCTGCTGGTATGTATTTAGTTTATCCTATCTTGTTCAAAAACAAGGGAGGAATGATAAGGAAGTGGGCAGTGAGGCAAATTATAGAGATGTTTATATTACAGTAGGATACAAAGTAAAATAAATGAGACAAAGGGGAAAAATAAATCTGGGACTAAATCCCTGATTTCAATTGATTTGCATGATCCCAGAAGAAAGGCAAAGAAAGCTCTTGAAAAGCTAAGACCGGGTTTCTCACTGGTCTCCCAAAATGAATTCAAACTTACCAGCCACTGGGAAGACAGTCAAAATCAGTAGTAGTCCTAAGTCAGCAGTTCTCCAAGGGCAAAGCATTTCTGTTTCCTTTCTTCTGCCTTTCACTCGGTACTTTTCCTCCACACAGGCACGGAAGGAGCTCTGAGCATGGTGAGACCCTCTCGAGCCGACTTCTCTGTACTAGATCCTCTCAGGCCATTGGCAGTGGGGCACTCCCTTCCTCCTAGCCCCTTCCTTCAACTCTACGTGGTTTAGCCCGATTAGTAAGTTGGAAGAGAAGAAAGTCTTCTCTGGAACTTGACACAGCAATAGATTTCCTGTGCGAAGCACCGAAGCAAAGACGGAGGAAGCAGATTGATCAAGTTATCTCTCAGCTCATTGGTCCTCGTCTCACTTCTGCTATACACAGATAAACTTTACAGTAAGGCATTGAACGAATGTACCCAAGATAAACGGATTTGTCTAAACTGGCATGAAAAAGTTAAACAGAATTTTTATCTGGTTTTGGCCCATCAGTATGAATTTCCCAATCACTATAACATTTAGAAGCTTTTTCCAGGTTGAAGAGGTATACGGCCTTAGTATTCAAGTCTGGGATAAAATATTTTCCATTGAAAATTCCTGTGTGAAATTACTGTCTGTAATGGGAGTCAACACAAAATTCTGTTAAGTGTTATAAGCATGTTCATTTCCTACTGCCACTATACTAAATTGCCATAAACTTAGTTGCTTAAAACAACATAACTCTATTATCTTTCAGTTCTAGGAATCAGAAGTCTCAATGGCTCTTATGAGGCTAAAATCAAGGTCTTGGATATACTGTATTCCTTCTGGAGACTCATGGGGAGAATTCATTCCTTGCCTTTTCCAGATGCTAGAGGAGGTCTGCATTTCTTAGCTTGTGCCCCATTATTCTGACGTCTGCTCCATTGACACATCTCCTTTTCCAATTGTGACCCTCCTACCTCCCTTTAATAAGGATCCTTGTGATTATATTGGGTCCACCCAAACAATCCAGCATAATATCCCCCCTCAAGATTCTTGATCATATCGCAAACATGTCAAGACACATATGTCAAGACTCACAGATTCTAGGAGTTAGAACATGAACGTCTACCTTAGAAAGGGCAGGCACAGAAGGCGGGGGTGGGGGGGGGCTTTATTCTATTCATCACAATTGCCGTCACTTTCACCTTCAAAGAATTAAGGAGATGATTTAACCAAACAACAAACACCCATCATTTAGTTGCCAAAGCCCTGGAATTTAGACTTTCCCGAAAAACTTGCTAGCTAATACATACTAGCTTATATTTGAAGGGTAAAAGACTACTCTGTGTGCTAAGAATTTTCTACCCCAAAGCAAAACTCTCCAGAGAGGGGAAGAAAATATTTCAAACAGGAAAAAGATTCAACATTCATTTTTTTCTAAGTTAGCAGTTCCATCCTCCTTTTTGACAAACATTAAATATATTTTCCCCTTTCCTTTCTCAAGCTTTCCTTCCAGGGAATCAATTTAAGGCAGTGAAATCAGGTGCTTGAAGGCACCAGATACCTGAGGGTATGAACTTGATAATGAATAGCCTGTAACAGAAACATCTTTTCTACTGTCCAATATTTCATCAAGTATCAGAAAAGTCAGTGAGGAACTATCACTTAACGTACAGTATAAATTCTTATTGTCTAGCACATGGAGGTAAAAGTATATAGTGGTCAGTTAAGACCCTTTGGTAACAGATAAACAGGGCTAAGTCTCTGTTGTGCAATGATAGTAGGAAAGTTTCTTAATCAACTTTGTAGCCTATTTATTCTACTTAATATTATACTGACAAGAACTTTTTCGTCTGTCTTCACATATTCTTGATGATGATTTATTTTAATGCCTGCTAGGTGTCACAGACAAAACTAAAGCACGGAAGGGCTAAATGCCTGCTTAAGGTTTCAAAGTGATATGGTGGCACAATTGGGAGCAAAACATTTCATGTTTGCTAGCCTGTGTTTATTCCACTCAACTCCTCTGGTTTGAAATTTCAGGCAACAGCTTTCATAGACACATTTCCATGCACTCACCTGAGGTCAGACCACAATCTGCCATCAGCAGTTTTTAGGGTCAAGTGAATTGTATCAAAAACCACAGAATTGATGAAATAGATTTGGCAGGATAAGAATTGCTCTCCCCACTCCCTTATCCCCTTTGTCCCCAAATCTCACTCCCCAGCTTCTCAACTCCCACCTTTACTTCTTAGGGAGAGCAAGTGTTTAAAACAATAAAGGGACCAAGAGTTTGGTAGAATAATCATCCTCCAAAGTTATGCCATGAAACTCAGTAACAGAAGAGAAAAATGTCCATGTCTGGTAAATGCCCCTCTCTAAAACATCTAAAGGCCCTAGATTCTCCTTGACTGTGCTTTTGGGGTACAGAGACTCAGGAAGCAGAGAAGAACAAGAAAGGATGGAGAGGAGGTGTCCCTTAAAGCAGAACCCAAACATTTTACTCCACCAGTCTTTCAATAATGTACCAATTAAGAATCAGAGCATACAAGAAACAAACAGAACCATGTTATTCTCATTAATGTTGTGGTCGCCAAAACAAAAAAGATGTCTAAGCTTCAGTAAATTAGAGCTACTTTAAGCCATAATGTGCCACACTTCCACTGTTGGTTTACTTGATTTACTGATGTTGACAAATCAGATATTTATTATATGCCTATAAATGCTATTAAACTTCTTTTAATCAGGTGTATTTCTTTGTCTCCAATATTAGATTCAGACTTAGTAGCCACAGACTAAAACAATTTAAGGAGGAGATATTGCAGGTTTTTTTGTTTTTGCCCTTCAGATTCCTCTCCATCATGTAAAAGCTTTGCATGGCTCTTGAATACTTACTACACAGACTCCATGGTCTTTTATTCCTACCCCTTGTTCCCTGGACCCCTTATGGCCCCATACTATTCACTTTCTATATATATTCTTTTTTGTTATTTATTTTTAAGACAGTGCCTCACTCTGTCATCCTGGGTAGAGTGCCATGGTGTCATAGCTCACAGCAACCTCAAACTCTTGGGCTCAAGAGAGCCTCCTGCCTCAGCCTCACCTAAAATCCTTCATCTTCCTCCTTGCACAGTCATTAAATGAATTGATCATAACTCCCAATCCACTCACCTATTCATTCATCCATTCTTTCTTCGGGTTGGATACCCTTCCTACTTCATAGTTGTTCTATTTTTTTTTTTTTTTTCAAATAAACAAACGCTATGCTTTGTCTCAAATCATCAATAGGCATTAGGATTACTCTCTGCTGCCCCCTGGAGGTAACACTGTGAAGCCAATACTAATGTTTTCCTAAACTTCCTTAGCAAATTCAGTAATACCTAGTATGTTAACATGACTAAACATTCACATTAAATTTGAAAACTAATCTATCTAATAGATTAGATGTATTGAAAACTAATACATCTTTTGAAAACTAATTAAACAAATTACTACCTACTGGGTAATAAAGATGTTATAACCTGAAGAAATGTTGTTGAATAGGACAATAAGGAATGTTCTGAGTTGCCATGATGGTTTAGTAAAAACAGCACTATAAAGAAATGGATGGAAGGAAGCTAGAGACCATGTTTCATTCCATGCAACTTTGAAGATTGTCAGCTTTGGGTACCTTGAACCTGGAAATCAAACTCTAAGAGGAGAGTTTAATATGAAGAATGGTTGTTGTGAAGTAACCTCAGATCATCGCTCAGAGAAATGAAAGGACAAAAACTGGCCTGGGCAGTAAAAGAAGTCAAACTGTGAGGCTGGCCCACACCAGTCTCAGCTAACCCCAGTTGGGTGCTCTGGAGCTTAAAGTGTCCTTTAGACTTGTCCTTTGCTGGCCTGAAATGACCAGGTCTCTATACCTCTGCTTCTATCCATCACTGGATATATATAACAGAAGGACCATGACTTTGGGTGACACAATCCATGAAGGGGATGACCCCTTACAAAAACATCAACATTAGAGCAACAAAGTCGCTTTAATTCTGATCTTAAATTATAGCGATATTTCACTCAGACAATTGTCTTTCATTCCCAAGAAACAAAATTAAGGGAAAGTCTTGTCAAAAATATAACTTGAAGGAGCTCTGCATTAAGAAATTTGCTATTTGACCAGGTGCGGTGGCTCACACCTATAATCCTCCCACTCTGGGAGATGGGTGGATCATTTGCACTCAGAAGTTCAAGATTAGCCTGAGCAAGAGCAAGACCTCATCTCTAAAAAAAAAAAGCTGGGCGTTGTGGCGTGCACCAGTAGTCCTGTAATGCTTTAACTCCATTTTGTACATAGAGCCAGACTTACTCCATTTTACTAAGGACTTTGCTAAGGGCTTTCAACACTCCCCCTTTAAACTCATCTGAAAGCTGCAGAGTTTAGTAAAATCTACAAAATCCTGTGAAACCACAGCTCTCCCTTGTAAGCACTCGCCTTACCCTATAGATCTAACCTTGCAGGTGTTGGCTTTTATGAAACTCAGGTTGCATTAAGGACTCCTCCTCCTCTACCGAAATTACCTTATAAAAAGTTTGTGTCCTGCTTCTGGGGGTCTAGAGACTTTGTGGTGTAGCCTGCTCCTGACACTGGCCAGTAAAGGACCCCTGCTTAATTTGGACTCAGTGTGCTGGCATTTCTCTATTCCACTCACTTTGGGTATAACATTCCCAGCTACTCTGGAGGCTGAGGCAAGAGGATCTACCTGAGCCCAGGAGTTGCGGTTGCTGTGAGCTATGATGCCACAGCATTCTGAAATAAGACAAAGTAAGACTTTGTCTCAAAAAAAAAGAGACAAGAAAAGAAATTTGCTACTTGAGACAGTTATGTTATTTTTACCCTTATGTGGCAACTTTGAAATCCAGAAAAGTATAGAAATAAATAGAAAAAAACAAAAGTCCAGTCATATACACTGGCTAAAAATATCAAGGTAAGTCATTCTCAAGAGAAACAAGTAACATCTGATCTCCAAAAACAACTTCATTAGTGAAGTGGAGAAAGATGGAAAATTTTAAAAAGAAATATTCCAGACTGAGCCAATTTTTTTTTCTAGTTTTGAAAATACGTTATACAGCACCTAAAGTTGAACTTCCTGGGTTCAAACTTAACTTCTCCTTCTTAATTTTTGGTTACTGTATTTTTTGTTTTGTTATTGCTCTAGAATGTCTAGTTTATTCTTTTTTCAAATTTTCTGGCATTTTCATAATTTCCAGCTCTCCCCCAAAACTCTTTGGTCTTTTGTGTCCTGGACCATAAAATGAGCATGTTCAAGTCTCTGTCTGATAATCCCAGTAGGTAGGATGGCTAGGGGTAGATTTCTGTTGGTTCTCTGCAATCTGGCCTCTCATGTGCTAGATATTATGTTTTGTTTTTCGAATTGTAGAAAATGTAGAGATATTGTGGGGCCCTGAGAGATCTGTATTTCTCTGGAGAGTTTTTTCTTTCTCTCTCTCTTTTTTTTTTTTTTTTTTTTTTGAGACAGAGTCTCAGGCTATTGCCCTGGGTAGAGTGCCATGGCATCACAGCTAACAGCAACCTCCAACTCTTGGGCAAGCAATCCTCTTCCCTCATTTTTCTACTTTTTTTTTTTTTTTTAGTGTGGGAGGGTTCTCACTTTTGCTCAAGCTGGTCTCAAACTCATGAGTTCAACCACCTAGGCCTCCCAGAGAGCTAGGATTACAGGTGTGAGCCACTGTGCCCAGCTTTAGAGAGTATTTTCATTTACCTCTGCCAGAAGTTTGAAAACATTAGCAATCTGGCATTATCTTAATCTGATTTTAAGGACTAGGATTTTCTGTGCAATCAGGTGACCCAAAGGCAGGTTGCAGTCTCTGCACTATGGTTTGAATATGTCCCTCATTGTTCATTTGTTGGAAACGTAACCCCAGGCCGGGCACTGTGGCTCACACCTATAATTTTAGCACTCTGGGAGGCTGAGGTGGATCACCTGAGCTTGCGAGTTGAAGACCAGCCTGAGCAAGAATGAGACCCCTATCTCTACTAAAAATAGAAAAGACTAGCCAGGCATTGTGGCAGGCATCTGTAGTCCCAACTACTCAGGAGTCATGACAGGGCAACAAAATAAGATTCTGTGTTTAAATATACATACTTTTACATACATACACATACATCAGTCCGACACTGATGACCTTATCTAATCTTAATTACTGCCCCATTAGCAATCTGGCATCATCTTAATCCAATTTTAAGGACTAGGATTTATGTATATATGTATATAAAAGTAAAAAACTTAACCCCAAATTTCATATTTTGATTGGAAGTGGAACATTTGGGGCAGTAATTAAAATTAGATAAGGTCATCAGTGTGGGACCTCCATGATAGGACTGGTGGCTTCATAAGAGGAGGAAGAGAGATGTAAGCTGATATGCACACTCTTGCACACCGGCCATGTAATGACTTCCACTGTGTTAGGACACAGCAAGAAGGTCCTCATCACATCCTGGCCCCTTGATCTTGGATCTTATAGCTTTTGTAGCTATAAGCAATAAATTTTTCTTCTTTATAAATTGCCCAATCTAGAATTCTGCTATAACAACACAAATTCGACACCATGTGAAGAATGATTTTATTGTTCACCGCATCTCACTCCACTCACTCCACTCACAATCCTAAGAGGTTGTCAAAAGCACTGCTGACCTTCCAGCCAGCTCTTAAATTTAGATCAGTCAGCAAACATCCCCAGCATAAAAGTAGTTTAAGTGCCCAGATCATCATCTGTATTTCTTTATTTTTTCTGAATCTTGGCTAGGTAGTTCTTCATTACCTTGTTAGGTCTCTGTGTCCTTGCAATAGATGATGATGATTGCGTTTAGGTTTTCTACTTGTCTTCAGTGGGAAAGCTGTTCTGAATGTCTTACTTAGTCTTCCGTAACCTAATATAGGTTCCATCCCTTAATGCTTTACTTTTCCTCAATCTCTTACTACCCATGAGCAAATCTTTTTGGATTTTTTCTTAAAATGTTCCTGAACTTAAACTTGATCATTTCATATAATCTCCATTATACTGGATTAGAAACAAAGAGATTAAAAATTCAAAAACCATAAT